GATAGATAGATAGATAGATAGATAGATAGATAGATAGATAGATAGATAGATAGATAGATAGATAGATAGATTTTAAAGATATAACCTCAAATTAACTCAGTCAATGAAATATTACGGGTTTTGTTTCCCATATTATTGTTTCAATCTAAGCTGTTGGTTTTTTTAAAAAACCTTTCAATTATTTTTATTGCTTTTTCGCTTTGTACAATCCTCAAAGTCCACTGGAACTGGGTGATTATTACAAAAATGAATGAATGAGTGAATCAGTCAATAAATCTAAGCAAGATGATATGATTTTACATGCATTTACTCATTCTATTATATTCTACATGTTCTCTGTAAATCAAACCTCCTCAACATAGTGCTTTCCATATGAACGTAAAAATAGAACATGATTAAAACATAAACCTGGCAAATTTTGTAGCAAATGAAAATGTATGTCCTTGTTCTCGTAGAAAGAAGATTCACAATAAATGAGATGGTGTTATCATTATCAAGTACTGAGAAATACAATAACATAAGTACCTTGGGGAAAAGTACACCACTGAATTTCTTAAAATATAGCATAAAAAGATATATAAGGAACATGCTGGTTTCCTAACATACTACCCTTTATAGAATGCTGTTTCCAAATAAGTTAGAAATTGAACTAAATAGTGAAGATGGGTTAAGAAAACACATCTGGCTTCTGGGGAACAAGGGAGGTCTTTCTCTTTAATTGGACTTCCCCAGCCTAGTGACTTCCAGATATGTTTCAATGTAACAGTTATCAATCCCAGACAGCTTGATAACTACTTAGCTAATAGGAGAGATGGAAGTGGTAAGTCAATACAACCAAGCAATAGACTGAAAGTTGCTTCATGTCTGAGCTTGCTCTGTCCTGCAGAGGAGAGAAATTGATGAAAACAGAAATTGATTGTTTGAATTATGTCTCGTGGCTTTTAGAAATGCTCATTCTAGATCAGAATTGGGGAGTAAGGCATTTGGATGTTGTTGCAAGAAATAAAATTCCTTGGGCCACCATTGTTGCCTTTGTTTCTCCACATCTTTTACATAGAAATTATCCATAACACAAGAGAATCAAAAACATGTTCCTAAATCTTACTCAGTAGTGTTTAAGATTACCTGTGATAGCAAAGTCCAATAACATTCAATAATCCTATGTTTTTATGTTCAGTCATTGCCACTTCTGCAAAGTCCTAGAAACACAGAAAGACACTTTCGTTAAAAAGTGTTACATTAAATATACTATTTTTCAGAAGTTTAGCCATATTGTTTTTGCAGCAAAAACAATGAAATTGACAAATCTTTGTAGAGGTACCTATACTCTAAAAGCCACTACTGTATAGATGAGGATTTTTTTTTCATTTCTTCAAGTAATTATTGCTTTCTTTTTTCCTTTTCATTATCTAACTTTTATATTGTGAGCAACCTTAAGATGTAATATGTGAGATGCAGTAATATACCTCACAGAGTATAAATCAAGTAATATATACAAAAACATAGTAAAATGGATATTACACATGATTCTCTAGTAAATGCATGCAATACAAGACAATAGCAGAGTTGGAAGGGACCTTGGAGGTCTTCTAGTCCAGTGGTCCCCAACCTTTTTATCGCCGCGGACCAGTCAGCCTTTGATAATTTTA